ACATGAAGCATATCTGACAAACATCAATCATGTGTCATTACAAAGCTCATCTGTTAGTGTAATGTTCCTTAACAATATGATTGGACAACCCACCTTCAACTCTAATTTAAAGGACGGTAACTGTAATAGATTGTGAGAATTCAAATACTCGTTAGGGTATCAGTTTGTGATGCTTTCGATTAAGTTCATCACCTTCGGATATCTTGTCGATAGCTAAATATGTTATGGTCTCTCTAGGGAAAATCTTCAATGTTGCTTGCATTTATAACACTGACGTCTTCATTGTAGGCAAAAAGAATCATGCACTTAGTTAGATAATTTGGGATTATTGTACCAAGCACGTATAATTGTGAAAAAATTCTAAATATCAATTCTTTCATATCTTAACATCTGTGTATTGTTGGTGGAAGTTCTGCTATTTTGTTTGGATATGTGTCAATCTAAAAATAAAATATAAAGTTAATGAATAAGATTAAATGATAATCATAGTGTTATCACCGGACCGGATTGGTTCTACCGTGAACCAGGACCTCAGCCGGTCCGATTATGTAGTTGGACCGCTTAAGGAAGAGAACCGGAAAACCGGCCGGTTCTTGTAAAAAATCGTGAACCAGCAGGTTTTATAAAAATTGGACAGTTCAATGCCAACATAAAAAACAAATTACATAAACTTAAAATCTCAAGCTTATTTCCCTAAATCGCATAACTCCAGTCCAGAAGAAGGCACCACCTGACCACCAAGGCTCCAGCGACCAGGCGACTACAATCACCGTTCAACGACCAGGCTACTCTGGCGAACTCAGGCAACTGCGATCGATCAGCCACTGCGATCACCGACCAACGAACCAGCGAACTCAGGCAAGATTTTCTTGATTTAGGTTTAATCTGGAATCTCAGAGTTTCTTTTATTACCAATTTCAAATAATTTAATTCCTGAATATCTATTTCTTCCTCACCTCAGCTTGTGCCTTCTCCATTGCTCTTGGGTTTCTCATCATTTTTGACATCGCCCATTTTATAGTTGTTGACGAAGTCTTAGTCCCCCCAATAAACATGTCCTGCACGAGAATCATTGAGATCACACCTTAGTTACTACAAAAATATGATGATAGCTTGATTTTTTTAAAACAGGAATTATATCTCAAAGGATCTCCCTCGCTAAGATTTTAAATTTGATATTGAGTTTTTTTATGGGTTATGTGATTTTCTTTTAAAGTCATTGTGTATTTATAGAGTGGTTTGATTATTTGGATTTTGAAGAAATAGTTCATGTTTTTTATTAAGGTTGTTTGTTAATTATTGTTCTAATAGAAATTTGATTTCGAATTACTAATTGTGTTATTGATATGCTAATAGTCCATAATCCATATTAATGATCTTTGTTTGTGATTATGTTGTTTCTGTTTGTGATTTAGCAAACCAGTAGGTCACTTTTTGGATGTAGCTTTTCAATGCTATGAAAGCACTGGTAGGTAATTTAATTAAAGGATCTTTTTAAAAGAATTGTAAAGCTATCATGCTTGTGAATTGAGAATTATAAAGCTATCATGTCTGTTAAATAGAGATTCACAAGGGAATAGTTATTGTCTATTTGTGATCTATTAAGATTGTGAATTGAGATTGTAGGATTTTGCATTGGGATTTTTGTTGTCATTATTGATTTTATGTTTTCAGTTTGTTTGCTCTTGCAAAATGTCATCTTTTGGACTTGGAATGATTTTTATGTCATGTACTTGGATTGGATGACAAATTGTATGTATTTTAGACATATTTTATATGTTTTAGCTAAATTATTATGTTTTATAATTATTATATATTTTTTTTTTATTTTTTTTATTATATGATCGGTCCGACCAGTGACCCACAGGTTGAACCAGTGAACCATTGACTCAATCCTCAAGACAGTTCGATGACCGGTCTGATTCTGATAACATTGGATAATCAAAAGCAATATTTCATGAAATTGAAGATCAATGAAACGTTAACTCCATAAAGAAGTTTTAGAAATTGTCATTTCTAACATCTGTGCTATTTAAGCACATGTCTAAATCCAAGGTCAACACATGTATATCCCTTCATAGCATAGATCGTCTCAATTAAGTACCCAATAATTGCTCACAAAATCCCTTTGCTATAACTAAAAAAATTACGAAATTCTTTACAAAGAGCAATAGTGATACCCCCAAATGACTTTTTATTGTTACAAATACATTGAATAGTGCAATATTCGCCTCAACATAATATTTATGCTACATAGGAACTTCATTTCATTTTACAAGTTTTGTTTCTCTAAATAACTCTGTGTTCATTGATTACTTCATAAACCCTTAAACCGAATTCTCATGCACACATCTAAAGGATTACAAAATATTGAATGTATGGTGCGACCTTCAACCAAAAACAATGATGTAATACCTGATGAAACCACGATAACAATATGTCCAAGACTGCGCAATTTAGTAGCAATTTTATTGTACATAAACATCTTTCCTGTTCCGGCACCCCCACTCAAGAAAAATGCAGTTCCTTTATTTTCAAATACTGACGAAGTGATTGTTATAGAAGCACCATGTTGTGCATAATTAAGGCAATCAATATCAATTTCTGTAATTGTTTGTTGCCATTCATTCTAGAATTGTTGATGTTCAAACCGTAGTTTGTTATCAACAATTACATTTCAGTTCCCAATTGGTTGTGGCATACAAGAAAAATAAATTAAACTCTTGCTTAACTCATGGAGTAGTTAATTCATTAGATATAAACCATAATCTTTTATCTTTATCCCGAGTTGGACTGATCATGTCAAACATTGTGCAAATCATATGTGCAAGGTCATCACATACCTACATTGAGAATTGATTCAATAACACAAATGGATGCAATAGAGAACATTCTATGAGAATTATGCTAAACAATCACCTCAATTGGTAACACATATTCATAATTGAAGTCTCTTGAAGACATTGTATCCATTCTTAATCATCTTCTCGAAGTCTGATTGCAACACATGNACATGAAGCATATCTGACAAACATCAATCATGTGTCATTACAAAGCTCATCTGTTAGTGTAATGTTCCTTAACAATATGATTGGACAACCCACCTTCAACTCTAATTTAAAGGACGGTAACTGTAATAGATTGTGAGAATTCAAATACTCGTTAAGGTATCAGTTTGTGATGCTTTCGATTAAGTTCATCACCTTCGGATATCTTGTCGATAGCTAAATATGTTATGGTCTCTCTAGGGAAAATCTTCAATGTTGCTTGCATTTATAACACTGACGTCTTCATTGTAGGCAAAAAGAATCATGCACTTAGTTAGATAATTTGGGATTATTGTACCAAGCACGTATAATTGTGAAAAAATTCTAAATATCAATTCTTTCATATCTTAACATCTGTGTATTGTTGGTGGAAGTTCTGTTATTTTGTTTGGATATGTGCCAATCTAAAAATAAAATATAAAGTTAATGAATAAGATTAAATGATAATCATAGTGTTATCACCGGACCGGATCGGTTCTACCGTGAACCAGGACCTCAGCCGGTCCGATTATGTAGTTGGACCGCTTAAAGAAGAGAACCGGAAAACTGGCCGGTTCTTGTAAAAAATCGTGAACCAGCAGGTTTTATAAAAATCGGACAGTTCAATGCCAACATAAAAAACAAATTACATAAACTTAAAATCTCAAGCTTATTTCCCTAAATCGCATAACTCCAGTCCAGAAGAAGGCACCACCTGACCACCAAGGCTCCAGCGACCAGGCGACTACAATCACCGATCAACGACCAGGCTACTCTGGCGAACTCAGGCAACTGCGATCGATCAGCCACTGCGATCACCGACCAACGAACCAGCGAACTCAGGCAAGATTTTCTTGATTTAGGTTTAATCTGGAATCTCAGAGTTTCTTTTATTACCAATTTCAAATAATTTAATTCCTGAATATCTATTTCTTCCTCACCTCAGCTTGTGCCTTCTCCATTGCTCTTGGGTTTCTCATCATTTTTGACATCGCCCATTTTATAGTTGTTGACGAAGTCTTAGTCCCCCCAATAAACATGTCCTGCACGAGAATCATTGAGATCACACCTTAGTTACTACAAAAATATGATGATAGCTTGATTTTTTTAAAACAGGAATTATATCTCAAAGGATCTCCCTCGCTAAGATTTTAAATTTGATATTGAGTTTTTTTATGGGTTATGTGATTTTCTTTTAAAGTCATTGTTTATTTATAGAGTGGTTTGATTATTTGGATTTTGAAGAAATAGTTCATGTTTTTTATTAAGGTTGTTTGTTAATTATTGTTCTAATAGAAATTTGATTTCGAATTACTAATTGTGTTATTGATATGCTAATAGTCCATAATCCATATTAATGATCTTTGTTTGTGATTATGTTGTTTCTGTTTGTGATTTAGCAAACCAGTAGGTCACTTTTTGGATGTAGCTTTTCAATGCTATGAAAGCACTGGTAGGTAATTTAATTAAAGGATCTTTTTAAAAGAATTGTAAAGCTATCATGCTTGTGAATTGAGAATTATAAAGCTATCATGTCTGTTAAATAGAGATTCACAAGGGAATAGTTATTGTCTATTTGTGATCTATTAAGATTGTGAATTGAGATTGTAGGATTTTGCATTGGGATTTTTGTTGTCATTATTGATTTTATGTTTTCAGTTTGTTTGCTCTTGCAAAATGTCATCTTTTGGACTTGGAATGATTTTTATGTCATGTACTTGGATTGGATGACAAATTGTATGTATTTTAGACATATTTTATATGTTTTAGCTAAATTATTATGTTTTATAATTATTATATATTTTTTTTTTATTTTTTTTATTATATGATCGGTCCGACCAGTGACCCACAGGTTGAACCAGTGAACCATTGACTCAATCCTCAAGACAGTTCGATGACCGGTCTGATTCTGATAACATTGGATAATCAAAAGCAATATTTCATGAAATTGAAGATCAATGAAACGTTAACTCCATAAAGAAGTTTTAGAAATTGTCATTTCTAACATCTGTGCTATTTAAGCACATGTCTAAATCCAAGGTCAACACATGTATATCCCTTCATAGCATAGATCGTCTCAATTAAGTACCCAATAATTGCTCACAAAATCCCTTTGCTATAACTAAAAAAATTACGAAATTCTTTACAAAGAGCAATAGTGATACCCCCAAATGACTTTTTATTGTTANATAATTGCTCACAAAATCCCTTTGCTATAACTAAAAAAATTACGAAATTCTTTACAAAGAGCAATAGTGATACCCCCAAATGACTTTTTGTTGTTACAAATACATTGAATAGTGCAATATTCGCCTCAACATAATATTTATGCTACATAGGAACTTCATTTCATTTTACAAGTTTTGTTTCTCTAAATAACTCTGTGTTCATTGATTACTTCATAAACCCTTAAACCGAATTCTCATGCACACATCTAAAGGATTACAAAATATTGAATGTATGGTGCGACCTTCAACCAAAAACAATGATGTAATACCTGATGAAACCACGATAACAATATGTCCAAGACTGCGCAATTTAGTAGCAATTTTATTGTACATAAACATCTTTCCTGTTCCGGCACCCCCACTCAAGAAAAATGCAGTTCCTTTATTTTCAAATACTGACGAAGTGATTGTTATAGAAGCACCATGTTGTGCATAATTAAGGCAATCAATATCAATTTCTGTAATTGTTTGTTGCCATTCATTCTAGAATTGTTGATGTTCAAACCGTAGTTTGTTAACAACAATTACATTTCAGTTCCCAATTGGTTGTGGCATACAAGAAAAATAAATTAAACTCTTGCTTAACTCATGGAGTAGTTAATTCATTAGATATAAACCATAATCTTTTATCTTTATCCCGAGTTGGACTGATCATGTCAAACATTGTGCAAATCATATGTGCAAGGTCATCACATACCTACATTGAGAATTGATTCAATAACACAAATGGATGCAATAGAGAACATTCTATGAGAATTATGCTAAACAATCACCTCAATTGGTAACACATATTCATAATTGAAGTCTCTTGAAGACATTGTATCCATTCTTAATCATCTTCTCGAAGTCTGATTGCAACACATGTTGATTTGAATATGTCGTTCATAATATTGTTGACCGTTCATAAGAAATTGAATGATATTGGTCCTTTAACAACAATTAGTAGAAATTGTAGGTAAAATTGTTCATTTGATTTAGGGCTAACAAAGTACATTCTATCAATTATATACACCATTTGTCTTGGAGTCTATATCTTCATTGTCTTGTTCCAAACAAATTTTTGAAGAAATTCTTGATAGGTTAATGCGAATCAAGATTCATTTGAAATGCAACACATAAAAAAATTAGTGGAAGTTATATACTCTTATCCAACTTTAGAAAGAATTGTCATAGATGATTTTGTAGCCTTAAAAACACCACAATGTATCCCTGGTAAACGAAATGTCAACTGTACAAACGTTGGAATCTCTTCATGCAACGGATAACTAAATAATCGTCAACCAACTTCTAGTGGTCCAATATACATTGCACCAAGATATAGTTGGATCTCATTTATTTCTCCCAGCACCATAGTTGTGCGATCATGATATTTTAATATACTTATGAATATATTTCATAAATCTCAATCCTGCAAAAAAATTTCATGTTAATGTGATAGTTGAACATTCTTGAAAGATACTGAATATATGATACATCCCTATTATTAACCTCTTGCCCGCTCACAATATGTATTTGGCCATTATTGTTGTGAAGATAGCCAGGATGTCCATTTTAGTCCATACTTGTTGATTCTACAAAGGCTTGAGGATATCTCTTAGTGTAAGTGCTAGATCACTGTGATAATTTGAAAATTTAGCACAAGATGCTTTGTCAACCAAGGCACATGTCTGAACTTTGTTTGCATGGCAAAAGAGAAATGCATGCATATGCGGTAGCCCCCATTTTTTGGAATTCAATTGTAAAAATATTTGCTATTTTTTTTAACCAAACATGTTCTTTGGTTCTATCTCTATTATAAAAATGTCTCTTTAACTCAAAAACATGTCCAACCAAATCAAGATGGTCGAGTGAGTTCTTATGCAATAACAAAGATAAAATAATTTCAACGCAATTGGGATTTGTAGTTATGGTGGAAAAAATATCCCAGTGTTAATTATATCATGTGATAGTCATTGAATCTTGAAAGATTTCAAATATATGTCTTGCACTACCGATGAATAAAAATGACAAAAAAAACCACAAATTGACTAATATGTTCATATCCCAACTAATTTGTATTAACATGTGCAAGAATTTGGTAAGGTTCTAAATGAAATTTTCCTTGATTAAGGTTGTAGTATGTAAACTGGTTTTATTTAGTTGTGGGCCAAACATTTACTGCAAACTCTTGGAGTAGTTTTACTCCTCTCAATGAATGCAATTAGCAATTCCAATTATTGTAAATAATTTCAAAATTCGCATCAAATCAGACCTATTTAAAAAACTTGCATTAAATTGAATCTAATCAAACCAAATTCAAATTGAATCTAATCAAACTGAGTTCAAAAAATGAAAATTAAACCTAATCAAACCATGTTCACAAATCCAAGAGAGTATGTGGGTGTTTATGCGTGTGTAGCAGAAAGGAAGGGAGGGGCAGGGTTAGGGTGAGGATCAACGCTAATGAAGAGGTGGGTTGCGCATAAGGGATAGGCAGTTCACAGAAAGGGAAGAGCTAGGGGGTTCGTAGAAGGAGAGAGATTGGGAGAGGGTTTCGTCGTGCGTGTGTGTGTGTGTGAGAGAGAGAGAGAGAGAGAGAGAAATACGTTAAGGCACTATGGCTGAGGTACTATGTCAATGTGGTTTGTGGCGGTGTAGTGGTAGCGATGGCAATAGTTGGCGATACAGAGAGAGAGAAAGGGAGAGAGAAAGATGAGAGAAAAAGAGAAGGAAAAAACGGAAGACCGGTGAGGAGACGTAAGGAGGTGTGAAAGGATTGGGCGGGATATTGATGTAGGTTTATTCAAATATATAGGTACCTTATTAGATAGATGATATATAATTACGCTATAGTATGTTTGAGAATAGTGGGATAGGAATAGAAAAAATATGTTGGCCTCCGATGCGATGTCAAATCAAATGTTACTTTTGACAATATTGCCTTTTTTCGAGTGAAGTATTTGATTTAATGTAAAGATGCATTGATAATTTTAATTTCAATCCACTCATTTGAATATCACCCCCATTTTGGCTTAATAACTTGTGTGTATGGGGGTTATTTGCAATGAAGATTATGGGCCTGACTTGTCGGAAAAAAATAATGTCAAAAATGGAATTTGTGGGCCCCAGATTCATTTTACCAATCTCAGCTAGATATTCTCCAATCTGGCCAACCAAACGTCCCTAAGAGTTGGGATAAAATTGGTTTTGCAACATCCATTTGTGACCGCAAAATATCAATAGTATACTTGGCTTGACTGATGCAATCTTGGTAGGCTAAAAGAACTTAGCAGGCCCAAAAAATGAGGAAACCAACTAAGATCTTTTAATAGTAGCTAGGCTAAAACATGATGGTTCTTCCCGTTCCAGCGGAATAATGATAACCAAAGCACATATTCAATGGGTGAGTTGTCTTTCTAACTTGTGGAAGTTGTGTAATTTACTCGATTTATACCGGTTTTATTCATAGTTGTATACAATTAAGTATGTGTCTTGTCGATATGTATCGTATATAAGTTGTGTAAATGTGTTTAATCAGGTTCATGTAGTATTTAGCTTACTTGGTGTTGGCATTTGAAAGGTTTGGTGAGTCCATCCAAAACTATTAATTTTGAAGCTGAACTCGTTAATTTTATATCAGATTCGTAGCTAGAACTGATAGACCCATGTGTAGAATATAGTTGGTGGAGAAGAGGAGGATGATGAGTGGAGGATAGTGAGGCATTTTTGGCACTCCTAATGTTTCATTGGTCTTACTATGTTTTTAAGCGAAGATTTAGGCACTAGATCACATAGAGCGAGAGTAGGAGCGGGGGCGAGTGTAGAAGCACAAAAGTTTAAACATTTAAAAA